CTGTTTTCCGGCTCGGGGCTTATAATAAGGGATCTTTCGGAAAAGGCTTTATTTTCCGAAAGATCCCCATCTAGACTGGCTTTTTTTCCTCCGGCAAAGCCCCAAGCCGGAAAAAAGCGGCAGCCATGTTTATGCAAATGAAGCGGGGGGGGATTTAAATCCCCGCTTCATTTGCAATTGTGATGTGTCTAATTTGCATCCCTTTTATAGAAAATGGATGCAGTCTAGACACAGCCAAAAAGTTTGGGAACCCCTGATTTAATCAACTGTATTCTAACATCCCTGGTGTAGCCAAGACCTACTAACATTCCAGCCTCTGAATAGGGTAAATAGAGAGCTGGTATTCTTACCTGAGGGCTCACTCCTTCCTCCACTGTTGGCAACTAGGTTTAGTCCTCTGGCTATTGCGTGTCTTGTAAATTTGTAAGCCTTGTAAGTGGAAAGTATGATTGGTTGTGGGACAACTAAAAAAGAAAGAGCAATGAGAGAAGCAGTCAGAAAATGGCCATGCACCTGAACTGCAGTTAGTGACCTTTTATGAATTCTTTGACAAGATCAGAAGATCCACTCGGTTATTTTCCACATTGAGAGGAATACAGTAGAAGCCATCTTGCTGATTACTATTTTACAGCAAAATGCTAACCTTCTAACATCTTATGTCTTTTTAAGAGGAATAGCTTTATAGACTGACCATGTGCCTCTGCATTCGCTGCAGCTCTAGATGCTCTACCAACATACTGTATATGCCAAGGATGAGCAAAGCAGCCTCCGCATGCTGGTTCTGACCCACAGCTGCTCTGCTGCTCCCAGGCCAATGGAGACCTGGGGACAGGGGAGCGTTCAAAGTCTTCTCCCCTGCCAGTGCAGAGGGCAAGAGACTTTGCACACTCCCCTCCACCCCAGGCCCTGATTTTAAACAGCTGGTGATTCTTTCTAGGGGCTGGAGCAGGAAAGACTGCATGTGATCCCACACAATCAGGGTCTGTGCTCAGGGGAGCACAAGAAATCTTCTGGCCCCACCCCTTCTGGGGCAGCCTGGGGCTACTTCACAAATTTCTGAAGTAGCCCCTTTTTAAAAATTATTGCCCATCCTTGGTATATATTATTTCTCTCTGACTATTGCATTTACTAGTTCAGCATTATTAGACTGCCAAAGTAATTGTTGCATTAGCTTTATTACTGTTATTAATGGTAAGGTAACTTTCATATTACTGTATATAGAATCATAGAATACTAGAACTGGAAGGGATCTCGTGAGATCATCAAGTCCAGTCCCCTGCCCTCATGGCAGGACCAAACACTGTCTAGATCATCCCTGATAGATGTCTGGCTAACCTGCTCTTAAATATCTCCGGTGATGGAAATTCCACAACCTCCCTATGCAATTTATTCCAATGTTTAACCACTCTGACTGTTAGGAAGGTTTTCCTAATGTCCAACCTAAACCTCCCTTGCTGCAGTTTAAGCCCATTGCTTCTTGTCCTATCATCAAAGGCCAAGGGGAAAATTTTTCCCCCTCCTCCCTGTGACACCCTTTTAGATATCCAAAAACTACTGTCCTGTCCCCTCTCAGCCTTCTCTTTTCCAAACTAAACAAGCTCAGTTCTTTCAGCCTTCCCGTATAGCTCATGTTTTCTAGACCTTTAATTATTCTTGTTGCTCTTCTCTGGATATATGTGAATTAGAGCCAGCAAATCCATATTGACACATAGAACAGATGTGGAAAGCCTTATGTGACATTTCACTCTCCCATAGCAGACCGATGTTTTCACTATCCATTTAGGAGCAACCGTTTACTCCAGGTATGTCCAAAGCCCGGCCCACGGGCCAATTGCGGCCCGTGTTCCGGTTTAATACGGCCCCACGGGTAATTTGGCAATATCTATCTTTTATGGCCCCCAATGAATCCATATGTATTGAGATGAATACATTGTAAAATCTCAGTTAAAGTCAGTTGGTCTAAATCAGTTATAAATATATTTGGACACAACATGTATACTTGGTGTTATGTTCCTGTTCATATTTTTTGAACTTAAAAGTTGACAGACAACCTTTATTACCAATAATATGTAATGTACTTTACAATGTTCCTGACATATATTTCAGCTTCCTGGATTTTTTTTTTCATCTGGCCTTCAGATATGAAAGGCAGAGTGATTTAACACCTGTTTAGATTTGTCATCCATGTGACAAAATGAAAAGTATGCCGTTTGCAATAAACTTTGCATAAAATAGTTAATTTTAATCAAAGAATGTCAGGCAAAATGGTCGGCCCTCACGCATGTTCACTTCATAAAATCTGGCCCTCTTTGAAAAAAGTTTGGACACCCCTGGTTTACTCTGATAACTTGCAGAAATTCCACATTAAAGGCAGCTACAGAACTCAAATTGTTCAAGGTAGAGCCTTAGCTCAATACCTTTAGATATTAAAGAGCTTTTATATGGCAGCAGTAGCAAATAGTTTTAGCTGTGAGGCTGCAACAATTCAGTACTTAAATTTGTTTTTAAAATATCAAGCTTAAATAGGATGGCATAATTTTATGTATATTTTTGTTTGGATTCCTATAGTGGTATATCTTCACCTGTTTAGTTTTTTCATCGCAGCCAAGCCAATTTCATGCATTCTTAAGTGATACTTCAGCAGTTAGGTTTAGCCATTTATTTGAATGCTGGAATTTTAATGTGTTTAGTCCCATCTGATATGGAATAGGTAAATGCAGTGAAAAGTTCAAAACTCATTTGTTATACATTTAATACATATTGTTTTAATGATACATAGGCCTGATATTGCAGCTTCGCTTAAGTAATTACATTGACTTTAGTGATCATGGGATTAGATTTTAGGAGAAGACTAATCTTGATAAATAATAGGTTTGGATGTCAGGAGACCTAGTTCTAATACACATTTATTCTTCTGTTCAAATATTTGAATATCTCTGTCTCATCTATAAAATGGAAGATGATGAGGTTTGTGAGCAATATTTACTCAGTGGGACAACTTCTGTGAATAAACGTCTGCAGATTCTAGGGATTACAAAAATCCATTCAAAAATAGTATTTTAATTGTTTATCACGTCACATTCCATGAACCTGAAAATTTCCCATTTGTATTTCCTTGATTTTCCTCAGGGCACTGATGTCCCTCCTAAACAGCAAATAAATAATGCTGAAACATACTTTGAAAATGCTAAGATAGAATGTGCAATACAAACTTGTCCAGAACTGTTACGAAAAGGTACATCTTCCACGTTTTTTAACTAAAGATTTTATTAAGTAAAAATATATAGTGTCTCATCAGAGCAAAGCATCAGAGCTTGTGAATTAGTGCCTATAGTTTCACATTTTAAAAAAATCAATAAAAACAATCTTAATTAGTTGGTTACTAAAATGTTAATATTTTTACATATATAAATCCTTAATTCTATATGAAAATAAAATTTATTGTACTAATAACATAAATAATAAAGGAATTTAAGAAATAATAACTCTAGTAAAATTAAAAGGTCAACTGAAGTGTTTTTAAAGGCATTGTATGCTGATAATCTGACCAAAACTGCCTTCATATCTGCTTTGTGTGCAGCTGTATAGGCTTATGGTCCAGTGGAATGTGTAGAGATGCTTGCCATATCCCAACTACTCTTATGTTCTGTGCTCCATAGGGAGAGTTGCTGTGAAACTACTGAATAAGTCTTATCTGGTTTCAATTCTGTCTAATCCTCCCTGTTCAACAGGAACCTTTTTGGGTAGACTGGGAATAATCCATGACCATAAAACACTTGGGGTTAGGTTCACAAGGGATTTAGGATTTTTTGTGTGCAAAAATATAGATTATGTTCCTGTTTCTGCTGCTTTGTTATAGGCAGCTGAAGCCCTAGTGCAATCCACAAACCAGGGGAAAGTTAGGCACCTAGGAAAGAGGAGCACCTGTCTCACCTGCAGGGCTCAATCCAGTAGGCAAGCTCCAAGATGACCTAATGCTACACAGGTTAAAATTTGAAGAGGGCTCTGGTACTCAAGTAAGTGCCCTAACCATTGGGCAATGGGATATTTTGATGTGGGTCTACCTTAGCCTTTCCTGTGAAAGCTGTTCTACTGTTGAAACAATAGTAAAGAATAAAATTGTGAGGCACGTAGAAGAACATAGTTTGTTGGACAAAAGTCAGCATGGTTTCTATAACGGGAAATCATGTCTCACTAATCTAATAGAGTTCTTTGAAGGGGTTAACAAACATGCAGACAAGGGGGGATCCAGTAGATAGAGTATACTTAGATTTTCAGAAAGCCTTTGACAAGGTCCCTCACCAAAGGCTCTTGTGTAAATTACATGGCCATGGGATAAGAGGGAAGGTCCTTTCTTGGACTGAGAACTGGTTAAAAGACAGGAAACAAAGGGTAGGAATAAATGGTAAATTCTTAGATTGGAGAGGGGTAACTAGTGGTGTACCCCAAGGGTCAGTCCTGGGACCAATCCTTTTCAACTTATTCATAAATGATCTGGAGAAAGGGGTAAGCAGTGACATAGTAAAGCTTGCAGATGATACAAAACTGTTTAGGATAGTCAAGACAGAAGCAGACTGTGAGGGACTCCAAGAAGATCTCACCAAACTGAGTGATTGGGCAACAAAATGGCAAATGAAATTTAATGTGGATAAATGCAAAGTAATGCACATCGGGAAAAATAACCCCAACTATACGTACAGTATGATGGGGGCTAATTTGGCTACAACAAATCAGAAAAGGGATCTTGGAGTTATCGTGGACAGTTCTCTGAAAACTTCCACACAGAGTGCAGCGGCGGTCAAAAAGGCAAATAGGATGCTAGGAATTATTAGGAAAGGGATAGAAAATAAGACCCAGAATATCTTACTGCCCCTGTATAAAACTATGGTACGCCCACATCTTGAATACTGTGTACAGATGTGGTCTCCTCACCTCAAAAAAGATGTTTTGGCCTTGGAAAGGATTCAGAAAAGGGCAACTAAAATGATTAGGGGTTTGGAACAGGTCCCATATGAGGAGAGATTAAAGCAACTGGAATTTTTCAGTTCAGAAAAGAGGAAACTGAGGGGGGATATGATAGAGGTGTATAAAATCATGAGTGGTGTGAAGAGGGTGGATAAAGAAAAGTTATTTATTAGTTCCCATAATAGAAGAACTAGAGGACACCAAATGAAATTAATGGGTAGCAGGTTTAAAACTAATAAAAGAAAGTTCTTCACACAGCGTGTAGTCAACCTGTGGAACTCCTTGCTAGAGGAGGCTGTGAAGGCTAGGACTATAATAGAGTTTAAAGGGAAGCTAGATAATTTCATGGAGGTTAGGTCCATAAAAGGCTATTAGCCAGGGAATAGAATTGGTGTCCTTGGCCTCTGTTTGTCAAAGGCTGGAGAGGGATGGCATGAGACAAATCTCTTGATCATTGACTTCGGTCCACCCTCTCTGGGGCATCTGGTGCTGGCCACTGTTAGCAGACAGGATACTGGGCTAGATGGACCTTTGGTCTGACCCAGTACGGCCGTTCTTATGTACTGAGGAGACCAGGGATCCCGTCTCCAGCTCCATTGCCTCAGGCTGGATCATTGGTCTCCCACCTCCCAGGTGAGTGCACTATCCATCAGGATGTAGATTTATTTTCATTGTCTCTGGCCCAATAACTTCTCTTTCTCCACACATTAGACTCTAGGACGGGGTGGCCAACCCACGAGCCGCATGCGACTCTTCAAAGGAAAAATTGCTGTTTCCACATGCGCAGCTCTTCTCATGGTCCCCTGCTCTGATCTTTTTTCCTTGTCTGGGCAGGGTGCAGATCTTAAAGGGGCAGTGTTGGCAGTTTTGGGGGTTTTTTTGGGTTTTGTTTTTACTGAACGACTTCTTTCCCTCGGCTCTGTGCTGTATCCACCACTATTTTGGCTCTTCATCTGTAACAGGTTGGCCACCCACTAGAAGAAGGTTCCTAGCTGTGAATTCCAATTAGAAATGGGCACCTTTCTTTAAGTATGTAGTACACATGCCAAAAATTTCAGAACCACAAGCATGAAATGGTCTTAAAAAGCAGTCCAAAGGTTTCAGAAATTTTGGGGGTGGATTTTTGGTGTCATAATGGTAGGTGTGGTAGACGGAACATGGTCTGAGAGAGAAGCCCAAAGAAAAAGCAGCTTTTGGAATGAAGCAGAAAAACCTGCAAGCCAAAAGTCAGTAAAAAAAAAAAAAAAAAAAAATCCACTAATTTTCAAAAGCATAAACCCAAATTTGTTTAAAATTGGTTGTTTTGCCAATGCCTGATATGAGAGAGACTGGGTTAGTCACAGTAAAAACACACAATTAATGCAAGGGTAATTAATTATGAAATGTGACTTGTCACCAGAAGAAGTTAACACTTGTATTTTAATTATAATTATTTCATGTTGTCTAGTAGTATGTTTTAAAGGAATAAAATCTCATTAGTAGCAGAGTTAAGTACCCAGGTGTTACACTAAGTCTTTGCTGAGTGGCAAGATACTGATTTGCATGCAGATTCTAAAATGGTGACGTTTATTATCACAGTGGTTTAAGTGAAATTTAGCACACTGAATGAAATACTCCTGATATTTGCAAGCATCCTGACTGAAGTAGAAAAAGCATAAAATATACAAAATCAACCCATTGCACTCTTAACATGTTGATTCAATTTTTCTAGACTTTGAATCAATGTTTCCAGAAGTAAACACCAATAATCTAACAGTACTAACCATAACCCAGAAAACTAAAAATGATATGACGGTATGGAGTGAAGAGGTGGAAGATGAGAGAGAGCTGCTATTAGAAAATGTAAGTATTTGTATGTAGTGTCAACATATTCTTATTTGTAGTCATATCTTTTGTATATGAGCCTCTTTTTGTTTGTTTTGACCCAATTTTAGTTCTGGAATTGACTTAATCTAATTATTTTAGACCAATCCCTTGACCTAACCAAATGTAATTTTTTTTTATTGGTAAAATGGGGCTAATGAACTTCTAGTTTTACAAAAACTTCTTCATATATTTATGCGAAAATGCTAAATTTTAATCTTATTTGGTGGGGAGATGAGTTACAGTAGTCCTCTTGTTATGTGAAAATGTTTGAATTCATTTCCACATATTACCCCAGATACTTGGTTTTATAATCGGTCAAGATTCTTTCCTTATCATTGACGTACAACTGCAATACATTTTATGCCATTTTGTTGCTTTGCATGATTTAATTCTCATTCTTTCATAGTTTCTGCTAATTTGACCTGTTTTACAACTACAAGACAATGATTAGTTTTATTTTTAAAATTATAATTATGTATTCCGTTAATGCCTTTAACCTGCATGTCATTGATACAAGTTAATCTTCCACACTACCTTAATTCAAGTGAATCTAGTTGAATTGCCACTAGAGGTCTCTTTCTAGAAAAAGCAAGTTTGTGAATTTCTTGTCTGTTCCAGCAGATGTCAGTGTTTACTGCTGATGCTAATTTTTGTAACTGCAAATAAATAAAATAAAAATTAAATTAAATTAAAATAAATCCCTTGAAAATGTTGGATGCATTTTAAATCTCTTCAACTGATAGGTTCCCTTCCTGTATAATGATTTTGACTACTACATCTAATTATGGATGACCATCAGCATCAGCAGAAATTAAAATGAAAACAGTTTTACTTACCTGTCTTTGAAATTATAATTTATAAATGTAGTCCATCAATCAGTAGAGGCAAAGTGAGGATTTCTACAGGAAAAGGAATATGCAGTGTAAAGCATTAGTGTGAAGATAGCATACAAAGTAAAATTCCCTTCATTTTAGTTTGTCCTTGTCTTTGCATTATTTATGGTCTGTTGGTCTTTAGTGTTGTAATCTGGTCTAATTATATGTTGATTGTGCTCTTTCTTCCTTGTGCACCTCCTTGTCAACTCTAATATAATCATTGTAAGGGTGTAGATGTAACCTCCTGGCCTAAAGGTTACTAACAGCAAAATCACAATAAAATGGCCTATTTGTTTGCTTTGTAGATGGTTAGAAATAACTTCAGAAAAACTAATTTAATGTGAGAGGCATTTGCTAAAGTATTGGGAGTTATTTACAGATATATCTGGGTGTTTACAGTAATAAGACTCAAGTTTAAATTAACACACCACTTTGACTGTTATTTTGATACAGTGCTGAAACAGTCTCATATCTGGTTTACCAAAAATGTATGCATGAAATGCTGTCTTTAAATAACCTATTAGACAAATTAATACCAGATGCCATCAGAGACATTAAACAAACCCTGGCCATATCATAACAGCCAGCTGTACTAAAAGTTGCCCTAAAATTTAAACTCCTTTCTTTTTAGTGTTTTTGTAAGATGTTAGCATGACAAGTTCTCCCTGTGTTGCTTGCTTGTTTCTGAAAGATGTCTATAAAACCTTAAAAATTAACTAGCCTCCTCCCATTTATTTGTCAAAACACCCAGATACAACTTTCTTTGCATAGGCAGATATGTTCAGAGGAGTTGAACTCTTGTCCAGGGGTTAACTGCAGCATGACAGTTGGTTACAAAGTAGCAAATACTTATAAAACTATATTTTAAATACATTTTAACTAGAAAATTTGGTTTCCTGAGTTATGTTTAAAGGGACTTGTAGTTAGACTTTTCTAATTAAGGGTAATCACACACTACTGTCTTGTTTGTTAAAAGCTATCGTGGAGAACTTTTGGAGGAGTACTTAAGTTGTATATGATATTGTAGCAAACTAAGAAGCTCAGTTTTTCATGAATCCTTAACAGATAAAAAAAAAAAACAACAAGCAATGGTTAACTTTTACAGCCTTTCTACAGACTGCATGTCCAATCAAAGCAATTATATGATCCTTGTACAAACTGGTAATCCTCTACTGGATGGTGCAGAGAATTTCTTTTAAATCTAATGCAATGGTAGTAGCCTAATATATGTTAATGTTAATCCTTTTAGTGGTGGGGTTGGCCTTTTTTCTTTAAAAAGATGTTAAATTTAACATTTATTGGTATGGGTTAGAGAGAAGCTCTGTACTGGTTATAACCTTAAAAAATCCATTCAGTATTTACATATAAATAAAAGGAGAACTTTTTAATGTAATGTTTTTTCTCCTTTCTAGTTCGTTAATGGTGCCAAGGAAATTTGCTATTCACTCTTGTCTGAAGGCTATTGGGCTGACTTTATAGATCCATCCTCAGGATTGGCAGTAAGTTATTCTGCTGAAAAGAATGGGAGGGAATGGAGACTGATTTTATAGATTGGTGGACCCTTTTACCTGCCAGTTACTAGTTCAAATGCAAGCCATTTTTTGTTGATCAAAAACATTTTGGTCGTCTGGTATCTCCCTTGGTATATTAAAGTGAAATTGTGATCTTGTTCCAACTGCAAGTTACTCTTTATCCATACTACCCAAATCATCATTGCAGTTGCTACCCTGAAGAACATGGTAGCAAAGAAGCTAAGAAATGGAAGTTAGAAAATGAACTAACTTCTCCTCCTTACAAGTATACAGTCACTGCAGAATGGAGTGGAAGTACATCAGTGCATATGTTTTCTCTGGAACATTTGAGACTGCACTTAATATTCTGTATAGGGACATGAATGACTAGTTAACTATTCTAGTCAACTAGTTGCTTCTCCCTCCCCCTTGCTGCCTCTATCAGAAAGAGGCAGTAATGGGAGGAGAGAAGGAGTTGCTTCAAAGTGGCAGCACCATGTTGCGCCCCGGGCCAGGGGCCAGACCCCAGCCTCCACTCGGCACTGCCACTTTGAAATGCTGCAAGCAGCCTCAGGGCCAGCTGGGAGTCCCCAGCTGATCCGGGCTGCATGTAGTGTTTCAAAACAGCAGTACCGCGCGGAGCCCGTGTGGAGCAGTACCGTGTGGACACCGGGCTCCATGTGATGCTGCTGCTTTGGAATGTTGCAAGGGATCATGGGACTTGAGTCCCCCACTCGCTCCATGCTCTCTTGCAATACTTTCGCCTTTCAAGTGTAGCAACAGCCCCTGTGAAGCAACACTTTAAAGGCGAAAGTGCCCTTATCGACTAATCATTGCATCAACTATTCAATTAGCCAATTAATCAAAACTTTACATCCCTAATTCTATAACCAGTAAAATTACAGTAATGAAATCCTTTTGCTGTACCAATACAATATAATATTGTAGTTGAAGATATACTAGACTTGTTAGATGACTGAATTCAAATAGCCATTCTAAGTCTGCCAACTTTTTTCAAAAAGTTAAGACACAGAATATTGAACTGAATTGAAATTGACTACATTGCATCACTTCATACTTATAGCATGCTTTAAAAAAAGTGCACTTCTAAGAATTTCACAGCTATTTAACAATTGGGTCATAACAAAATAATCTCCTGGCACTAGCTAATTCATAGAAGACTAAGGGTGGGAGGAGACCTCAGAAGGTCATTTAGTTCAACCTCTGGCTCAAAGCAGGACCAATCCCAACTAAGTAATTCCAGCCAGGGCTTTTATCAACCTGGCCTTAAAAATCTCTGAGGATGAAAATTCCATCATCTCCCTAGGTAACCCATTCCAGTGCTTCACCACCTTCCTAATGAACTTTTTTGTTCTATAATATACATCTAGTTCTCTCCAACTGTAACTTGAGAGAGACCATTGCTCCTTTTGTCATTTGCCATCACTGAGAACAGACAAGCGCCATATTCTTTGGAGCCCCACTTCAAGTAACTGAAGGCTGCTATCAAATCCTTTATTTTCCCTCCACTTCCCTGCAGATTAAATAAGTCCATTTCCCACAGCCTCTTATCATAAGGGGGCTCAGGCACATGACTTATAATTTTCATTGCCCTCTGCTCAACACTCCAATTCGTTCACATCCTTTCAGCAGTGGGAGGCCCAAAACTGGACATAATACTTCAGATGCAGTGCCGAATACAGGGGAATAATCACGTCCCTTGATCTGCTGGCAATGCTGCTATTGGCCCAATATGCCATTGGTCTTCTTGGAAACAAGGGAACTCAGTTGACTCATATCCAGCTTTTCAACTGCTATAATCCCCAAAACTTTTCTGCATAGCTGCTGCTTTTAGCCAGTTGTTTCCCAGCCTATAGCAATGCATGGGATTTTTCCATTCTAAGGGCAGGACTCTACACTTTTCTTTGTTGAACCTGATCAGATTTTTTGACCCAATCCTCCTATTTGTCTAGGTCACTCTGAACCCAATCCTTACCCTTCAGCACATCTATCTCTTCTGCCCCCCTCTATCCACCCAGTGTCATCTGCAAACTTGCTGAGGATGCAATTCATTGTTAATAAAGTTGAATGAGATAGTTAATGAAGGAGTTGAACAAAACTGGCCCCAGGACCAATCCCTGCAGCACTCCATTTGATACCAGCTGCCAACTCGACATTGAGCCTTTGATCTCAAAGGGTGCATCCACAATGCATCAATAGGTCAAAAAGCTAAGCAATTTGAGCAATGAAGATTGCTTAGCTTATTTCTAGTCAATTTCAAAATAAGCTATCTACACAGTGCTTATTTTGAAATAAATCACTATTCCAAAATGTCCCTTATTCCTCATGGAAAGAGGTTTACAAGGATGTCAGAATAGTGAGCCTGTTGTATTCCAAAATAATGGGTGGCTCAAAAGACACAGAATAGTTGTTTTGGGATACCTCTGGTATTCTGAAATAGCACTGCAATGTAAACGTAGCCCAAGTGTTTCAATTATGTCCCATTAGGAATAATATTAGCATATATTCCACATATTAAACAGCCACTAGTATTCAGTATCAGGCTAAATTGGTTACCTGTGTGTGTCATTAAAATTGTCATGCTTACTAAGTCCAGTCTAGTTAAATGTAACTTATTAGGATCTTCTTTCATTGAAACATTACTAATCCCCTTCAATCACATAATATACATGTCCAGTCCTTGGTCTGTGCCAGGAATAAGCATTTTCAAAGCTGTAAGGACCACTAATATGCTTTGCATGGTCATTTTGGGTATGCCTGCACTACAGAATAAGGTCAAATTAAGACACTCAACTACAGCTACATTAACTGTATAGCTGAAGTCGAAGTACCTTAACACAACTTTTGGCACTGTTCATACTGCAGATCGTTGCAGAGAGAACACTCTCCCTTTGACTTCCCGTACACCTTGTGGAAGCAGGAGTACCAGCATCAACCGAAGTGCCCCTATCAGTTTGAATTACCATGTTTTCATTAGACCTGCTAATTCGAGCTATGGAAGATTGACAGGGGGACAGCTTTGATCTTCTCTCTAGCGTAGGCATACCCATAGAGGGGTATTTTTTTTTTGTTTGATTATACCACTCAGCAATCTTGTTCAGTCTTACAAAACTGCTGCATCATACCACTCCACTCCCCCATCAGTGTAGGCACAAACTTTGTCATCCGCCCCCCCACACACACACCCCTGTAGTTACTGCTCCGCCCCCTTCCCCCCTCTCCCCCATTAGCTGATTGCCTCTCTTCTCAAAGCAGTCAGATTCTGGCCAGCCACTCCCCTCCAGCAGCAGGTGGGGGCAAAGCACAACTGACAAAGGGGAGAGAAAGTAATCAGAGCTGATGCATAGACTTCCCATATGGCAGAGTCTGTTGTCTATAGGGAAGAAAAACATAGGCAGAGACTTGGGAGCAAAAGTTTCTCACATTTTGTGTATTTATTGAGAAATTTGACGGGTTATTTCTGTCCTCGGCTAAAAGTTTGGTACGGTCAGACTCTACTTTTGGAATCTGTTCTGCAACTTTTAATCACAATGGTTAGTACTTACCCATGCAGCTACTTACTGTAAAGATTTCAAAATGCGTTCCTGCACTTTTTAAATGCATGGATTTATAGCAATTATCATTCATGTTTACTTCCAAATTTCAAAGAAAAAGCTAAAAAGTTATTGCAGTATACCACCTCCTTTTTATGGCTGATTGTGTCCTTTAGAATCATAATAGTTAAGATAGATCAACGATTCCATTTAGATTCCCTCCTTTTTTCTTTTCCAGGATTTTACAGTTCTACCATGTACAAAAAATTCTGGATATTTGCTGTACCATATTTCAGTGGCTGCATTTACTTCTCAGAAAAGAAAAAAATAGTCTGAGTGCTTAATAATATGTTACATTTGTGAAGTCTATAGGGATTTAAGAATTAAATTCCTGGTCCTGTAAACTGGTTGTGAGAGTGAAAACCTATGCCTTTTATTTCAGAAAACAAAGCAAATTACAGTTATTTTTAAGGGCAACAGCTGTTATGCCAAAACAAAGCTTACAGAGTGTTTCTGTTTTAAATAACTTGTATCAAAATCCTGTGGGGGTAAGAATTTTAAACTTGTGTAGTTTTGTCATTTTAAATCTTGAAACCATTTGTTTTGTAAGATTGTAACGGTGCTGAACTGATTAACACAAAATATCTTTAAAATATGTCTTTCCCCAGTTTTTTGGGCCATATACCAACAACACACTGTTTGAAACAGATGAACGCTACCGCCATTTAGGATTCTGTGTTGATGACCTTGGCTGCTGCAAAGTTATTCGTCATAATCTCTGGGGTACTCATGTTGTTGTAGGAAGCATTTTCACAAGTGCGGAACCTGAGAGCCCCATCATGAAGAAATTAACTGGAAAATAGCACTGTCGGGTTCTTACAAGTTAATATTTGACCTGTGTATTTTATTTGATAATTGGTCTATAAACATTGTCAGGAAATGCCAAGTTTTAGCATATGCTCACTTACAGATAATAAAACAACTGTTATTTATTTTAGTCTGTGTGAAATTCTTGTTTATCATATGATTTACAATAGTAATTGACATTTTACTTGATAAGTATACAGATGTGCCATATGATTTTTAAGCAGCAAGCTTCTCTTGTCCTGATTGAAAGTATATTATAATTCAGGCCCCTCCTGGTTGTTAGTTGAAATGCCACTAGCTCTATATGTTAATAAGATCACTCTTCACCCATAGCTTTTCCAGGCTGTGAAAATGGGACCTACTCTGTTCTGATGGGTTAAGTGTGTTGTTCAGGCATCCTTTCCACTATCCAAAACCATGCCATATATAACATATTTTGGGATTTATCCCTCTGAATAAGATCCAAAAATATTTGCAAGATTAGTAAATTTGCAAAACCAACTGACCTATTTCAATGAAATTTAAAATAAAATCTTGGTTTACCTAACTTTCATATTGATTTGCTGGAAGAATGTTTGGTGTCTCAGCAAGATAGTAAACTGTATTTTCCAATGAGGATCTATGCAACAATGTATCTTCACAAATATTCAATTGCAAAAATAGATTACTTTTTTTTCATTTGTGGGAGTATGCCATTGTATCCTTGAAGAGTCTGAAATTCTTAATGTTGAACTAACTTGTTGCCACATAAATCAATAGGCATACTTATAAGCAGGGCTCGACAAATAATACAGTCTACTCGTCCGTGGCGAGTAGATTGCAACCCAGAAGAGCTGGGTTCAGGCGATCTGCGCATGCGCAGATCGCCAGACAGCACGGCTGGCAAGCGGTGCTCACCACGGTTCGGCAAGCCCTGCTTATAAGCATGAATGCTTTTGAAAATCCCACTACTGTTTAGCTTAGTTCTCCTACAATGTGTTATCTTGCTGCCATATAGTATAAGTACTTGAATACTGTTCCACTAACTTTAAATCTTTTTTTATTTTCAATAGTGAAAATTGACTTTTTGCTAACAAGGAACAACTGAAAATACATTAATTGCTATTTAACAGCTGTTTTCTAGCCAAGGTTACTCTCTTAACCTGAGAACTGCTTTAAATTTTTTTCAGACATACTTTTTAAATATGCTGGAATGGTGGTTTCAATTGTTGTAATTGTCAGCATTAAAGCTAACTTTCTGTGCACATCATTAGTATTTAGAGTGAACACGCTTGAAATCATTTCCAGACTGGCACAGCTTTGTTACTTGTATTGAGACAGTCTAAAACTATACCGCATAATAATAACAAATGAAGTCATTCCTCCACTCTTAGTTTACACAGCTAAACCCTATATATCTTGCAAACCATCCATTCCTGTTAAAGGTGAGGCAAAGCAAGTTACAGTGAATTAAGTAGAAAATTAATTAGCCAAATGGTTGTTGGCTTTTGTTTTTTGATCTTAATGTGAAAATTGCTGTTAGTGTTGGTCATACAGTTTAAAATAAAAGAGCAATATGCAATATATTTTAGCAATAAAATAACTTAAATATTTTCTGAATAGCTGCAGACAAAGATTGCCATAACCTATTAATCTTAGGGAACTTTAACTCACTACCATTGTAGTCCTATATGAATGACTTGCTTCGTATTGTGCTGGCTGTTATAAGATTGTGATTTATAACTGGTATTAAACAATGAAATGTTTCATTGGGTGATCTGCCCAAAACAAGATATCCAGGGAAATGGATATTGTCCCTCTTGCACATTGGTATTTTGGGTGTCTGCATTAGCAGAGATCTCACAAAATTGGGTGATTGGCAGATGAAAGTTAATGTTGATAAATACTCATTGGAAAATATAATTCCAACTGCACATACAAAATAGTCCGGTCTAAATTAGCAGTTGCCACTCAAGAAAGAGACTTGGAGTTGCTGGGAATAGCTCTCCAAAAACTTCTGTCCCTATACATATTTAGAAATGAAAAAGAAAGACCAGCACAACAAAAAGGATTAAGAATATGAACAAGTTTGCATGTGAGGAGAGAGTAAAAAGATGGGACTGTTCAGCTTATTAAAGACATGAGGTGGATATGATGGTCGTCTATGAAAGCATGAATGGTGTAGAGAAAATTAATAAAGAACTGTTCTTCCTTTGCACAACAATGAAAGGATCACCCAGGATATGTCTACACTATGGGATAAGATTGAATTGAGATAAGCAATTAAAGTAGCTGAAGTTGTGTAGCTAAAGTTGAAACACCTAACATGACTTTTGGCACTGTCCACACTTTGTATTTAAAGCAAAGGATGTGGTTTAGCATTTTTAAAACATTGTGAGAACTGTAAACACATTTTAACACCTAGTATATCTACTAGACCAGCGGTCCCCAACCTTTCGTGGCTGCCAGGTGCCCGGGAGTGGGGCCACACATGCGCCGCACATGCCCTGAGCCCGGGGCCGGCAACACGCATGGGCCGTGCGCCGGGGGCAGGGCCAGCCCAGATGTTTCGGTGGGCACACATAAATGCCCCAGCAGGCGCCATGGCACCCATGGGAACCGTGTTGGGGACCACTGTGCTAGACTGAATAAGGTACTTCAGTTCCTTTTTGGTCAGTTGCTTAAGGTGTTGGGCTAGATCCCACATCACAACAGCCCTATTTTCAACTTCACAACCAATGCAGCTGGAATCTCTCAAGAACAGGTATCGTGAGCTCAACACTCTGGCTGTGTCTAGACTGGCAAGTTTTTCCGCAAAAGCTTGCCAGCTGTCTCCACTGGCCACTTGAATTTCCACAAGAACACTGATTTCCTACTGTTTGAAATCAGTGCTTCTTGCGGAAATACTATGCTGCTCCCGTTCGGGCAAAAGTCCCTTTTGCTCAAAAAAAAGGGCCAAAAAGCCCCGATCGCGAAAATGGTGATCGGGGCTTTTTTGTGCAAAAGCGCGTCTAGATTGGCACGGACGCTTTTCTGCAAAAAATGCTTTTGCGGAAAAGCGTCCATGCCCATCTAGAAACTTTTTTGCAAATGCTTTTAACAGAAAACTTTTCCGTTAAAAGCATTTTCGGAAAATCATGCCCGTCTAGACGTAGCCTCTATGTCTACAAGACAAAGTTGAATTAAGATATGCAACTTCAGCTACGTTAATTGCATAGCTGACGTCTAAGTAGCTTAACTCAGCTTTTGGTGCTATCTACACTGTAGAAAGTTTCAGGGAGAACACTCTTCCTTCAACTTCACTTACTCCTTGTGAAAGCAGGGTTACCGGTAGCGATTGGAGTGCCCCTTTCACTTCAAATTAGATGTCTTAACTAGACTGCTAATTTGAATCCTGGAGGATTGACAGCTGCAGCTGTAATCTTCCTCTGCAGTGTATAGACATACCTTAGGAAAATAGATGATGTCTTATGACATTTTGCAAGAAAAATAGCTCACAAGGTTTTGGCACCATTTAATTGATTTCAGCTTTAACTGGGATGCACCATGTTACCATCTCCTCATCTCTAGTTCAAATCAGATTCCCTACTATAGTAAGTAGTAGATGGTAATGTTGCCTTTTTTAATCTTCCATTTCTGAGCACTGCCAAATGAACTGGAAACTTCAACTGTGCTCTGTGCCCGGGTCTTGGCAAATAATTGTGGCAGGAATGTATACAATAGCTGCCTAGTGTGGAATTAAAACGGGATTGTGGCCAGAAGTCTAGGAACCCATCCTGAAAGAGAGAGCCAGTATTAATGATGACACGGTTCATCATCCAGCCTAAAGATGGCTTGGCTAATACTCTCATTCAATAGCATTAAGCCACGTTTTAGAACTTGCTGTACTCCCAGTACCACCTTCTGTTATTTCATACATTGGCGCTGCTTCCATTGAGAGCTGGGTGTGGTGCTTATGTACTTGAGGGTGGAATTTGGCTCTCCACTATTCCAGCCTTTAATAATGTTGCAGTGTAGTGGCTGCATCGGCACTGTAGGGAGAAAATACCCTTTTGTTGATGATTGATTAAATATAAAAATGTCACATTCAGGTTTATATTGCAGTCATATATCCTTTTTAAAAACCTGTGAATAGCTTGTGGGAGTTATATATCATGGTTCATAATTGTTGGCATTGTTTTCAGTTCTTGAGGTAGGCATTTCAAAGTTAGCACCTTTCTGCACTCAGACCTACACTATCTGTAGTATAAGTCTACACTACATGAGAAAGTCGGCCTAAAGATACAGAACTCCAGCTATGAGAACAGTATAGCTGGAGTTGACATACCTTAAGTTGAATTTCTGTGGTGTCGCCAATGCAGGAAGTTGGTAAAAACTCTCCTGTTGACTTTTCTTTCTCCTCGTGGCCCAGTGGAGCAATGGGAGCTTCATCAACAGTCAATTTAGAAAATCCTTACTAGGGATGTTAGATATCTAGTTAATTGAATAGTTGAGTAACTGCATGAATTCTTATTGGTTACTTGACTATTCTATAGTCCCCGAGGGCAGCGCCAGCAGCTGATGTGCTCTGGCCGTGCTACTGGGGAGCCTCCTGCCACCCTGTGCTGCTGCCTCTCTGAGTGTAATGGGTTTAGTAATGACAAGGGATGTTGACATGTCAACTATGTGATTTTAAATCTTCTCAACTACACACATTTTCACTGCCCCTCCTGCTGCCTCTCTGAGACAGCAGCACAGGGTGCCAGGTGGCAGTTGGTCCAGAAGGGGAACCGGTTTAAAAACCAGCTCCCCACA